TCTAGCACTTGTCATGTGAATTACCAAGTTTCTTGTAATGTTCACACAAAAGAGGATTAACCTATGGAATGGAACTTGACATCTTTGTACCATACTTGGTCATAATCCTTATGTGTATTTAGAGCTGTAGCTTTTTACGAGAAATTTAATTGATGCTGTTGTAGGAAGAAAGATCCCACGAGTGGTTGTTATGGAAGAGGAGTCAGCTCTTGTTGCTGTGGCACGAGAGGGATCTGACGTCTGTTGCTGCTGCTGGAAGAAAGGTTCGACAACAACAAGGTGAACAATGGAGAGCTTGTAAAGAGAATCCGACGAAAGAGTTCCTGCAGCAGGGATACTCGGCTGTAAGGAAGAGCCTAGGAGGGTCAGCATGCCAGGCTGCCAGTTGAAGGGATTCTGATAGCTGTCGGGAAAAGTTCCAGTGACTTGAATGAGTTCCTGCGACTGTTGCTTTTTGCAGGTGAGAAGCTGGCTGCTGCAAAGAACTTAGGAGGATTCCACCGTAGGAGGCCCTGACACTGGGAGGATTCTGGCTGCAGGGAGAATTCCAACTGCAATGATGAACAAAGGAGGGCCTGCATAAAGCGTTCTGCAGTAGGGCAGAGTAGAGGAGGAATTGCAAGATGCTAGAGGATGTTCCGACGGTTGTAGGAAGGTTTTGGTGGTTGTTGGAAGGGTTCAAACTGCTGTTGGAAGTTAGGGTTTGATTTAATTCTTCAAGAAGAAGCATAACGATTCAGTTAGAAACGAACATGCATATGACACAAGCTTATGACTCACAGAACCAAAGTTCAAAGATGATGCAAGCCATACAACGAAGACAATCGACAAGTTTTTTTTTCTGTTGCGTTGTATCAGTGTAGACGATGATGATGATTGACGAGTTCTCGTTTTTGTCGCGTTGGATCGGTGCAAACGACAATTCAGATGTTCAAATGCAGCGAATGATGTAGAATCGAGGGGCAGAAGTGATTAGTTGTGCGATGCTCTAATACCATGAAGATAGGGAATAAATTCTCTTATTTCTCAAGAATCAAATTACAAGCTCTTCTCCTTTATAATGAGGAATAACCAGTGCAAACTTAATTGCAGCTATTACAACTTATCAAACATAAAATAACTCAAGAAGCAAAGAAATATGACAAAATAAAATTTAAAATAGAAGAGAATAACACTAAAATATGAATTTCAAGATTCCACAGGAAGAGATTGTGTTGGGAAGGAGAGAAGAAAAGTTGAATGTAGGAGAAAAAGAGGATTTGCTTAATTCAATTCATAATAGAATAATCAGTTCAAAGAAGTTAAATCCTGATGTATAAAAATGTGGTTAACAGTTATATCTTTCGGATTTAGGTCAACACGGGACTTGAAAATTCTATTATCTTAAAAGAAAATGAAATAATCCCAGTATTAAATGTATTGGAAATGACAAAATACTAAAAATAGCTCATACTTATTATAATTATCCAAAAATTGCTAAAATATTTTTGGTCTATATCTTATACTGTATCAAATCCTCTTGGATTATAAAATCCTTTCCTTCAATGTTTATCCACCACTTATAAAAATGTTTATAACTTTTTATAATTTTTTAAACGTCTGAAACTTGTTCATAATTATCTTTTGTATCCTTAGTACACATTCTGCTTGAAAGATGACATTGAGGCTTGGGATTTAATTATCACCGGGCAACATTTCTTAGATTACTATCTTGAAAGAGAATTCCATAGTCACATAGGGACTGTTTGGTCAGCTGCAAAGGGAGTGCATTGCATCGAAGTTGCAGAGTTTATAAAAATTCAGGTGTTTGGGAAGGAATTCCAAATGTAGTGTAAAAAAGGAATGTATTTCTTGGTTCCTTTTTTGTGTATTTTAGAATTCTCTAGATTTGTGTAAATTTCAAGCATACTGCTGTATGTAAAGTGTTGCCTTGAAATATTGCATTTTTCATTAATATATCAAAAATGTACAACAAAGATGCATGTATTATATACAAAAATGACACCTGTTGTCTACAAGTATAGAAGCAAGCTTTGTATCATCATTTGCATGCATAAAAACAAAGGAACCATGAAGGGCGCACTTGGCACGAAAATGAGCGGCCGTATTATATTCTCTAGATTTATGGAAATATAAAACATGCTTAAAATTTATAAGAGAGGAGAGGTCCAAAGCCTCAAGTGGTAGATGGTGCCAAACCCCCCTTTTCATAGTGGAGCCCAAAAAAATACATAATGTTGGCATTTTCTCCTTTGAAAATGTGCCTTTACACTCGCGTATCCTTGGTGTGCGAATATGTTGGAGTGTCTTAATGACTTGAAGTTCGACTTGGGCGCTGTCCCAATTCTAAAAGTACTCAAACCTCCCTTTTCATAGTATGTAAAGAGTTGTCAGCTTTTGTTGTATGTTGCCGCCAGTGATACCGTTCTAGCGAGCCTAGCAGGTGTTTAGGTATAGCTGGAATATTTTTATTTTTTTTTTGCTGAATTTGGATTTGGAGTAAGAAAGATGAATCCCTAAAAATTTAGAATTTACCGTACCCTGACATCAGGTGATACTGTTTTAAGGCTTTGAGAAGATGTACAATAGTACAGGAAAAGTGATATAAGTTGGAGGTGTAAGTAAAGCGGGAGGAATGATGAAGATGAAATTCCATAAGTATAATATTATTGTTTTGCACTGTCGAACGACAACAGACAATAAGTTCGGCGCGGATATGGTCTTCGATCATCCGGGAGATCACCACCCCGATCCTATTAGGCTACACAATCCACCTAAAAGAAATCCAATGATATAACACTCAAATAGAGAAAACCAAGAGAAAACATCTCTAAACATAAAAAAAGTCAAAAATCGGCCAGAAAGAAAAAAATAACAAAATATAAAAAGTTCCTTCCAATAAAATCTTAATTCTAACTAAATAAAATATTAAATATGGGCCCAAAGGGGCTGGCGGCTATTGCATGTGGAAGAATTTCTGCCGATTGGGAAAATTGTAGAAATCCCACTCAATCTAGCTTGCGAGATTGCAAAAGTCAGCATTTACCAAGACAGGATCCAATCTTAATTCATCTTACTTCGTTCGTGGGATCGATTCCGCCCCATGTGGAATCCCCAATCGAGGGTTCTCACGACTGCGATGCCACATGACGAGGTATCCGCATAAGAGCTCCAACGCCAACCAACTGTCGCACATCACCGACCGCCGCCAACTCCTATTGCTGCCATTGGCTGCCAACAATTTTTATAAGACCTGGCATACTTTGTGATGCTTGTATTCAAAACAAACAAGAAAAATATGAAGTCTTATATTTATGTTACGCTGAATCAAACAACTCCAAATTGTTTTACATACAATACATTACATCTGCATTTCATTCATTTTAAACCGCATTATGATTGCAGCAAACCAAACAGCCCCAAACCAAACAACCCTATTGTGATTAGATGCTAACCTCTGTTAAACATGGTGATTAGATACTTATCTCTTAACTTAATTAGGTGATCTCATAATAAGTGGTTACAACAGATAGGAAAGGAAATATGAAATTTTATGTTTGGAGGATTTTTAGCGTCCTATTAATCAAATTAAATATTTCTCATTATATTTTCCTTGCTATAAATGTCTTCTATTTTAGAATTCTTCTTGCTATAAGGTTGTGGCAGCAAGGAGAAAGCATTTTGACGAGCGTTGGAATGCCTGCAGTTCGGTGGGTTTTTGGTGCCAGAATGGGTCGATTGCTTCGAGAGAGAGCGAGAAAGAGTATTTGGGAAAAAATTGATTGTTTTCTTATCGTAGGAAATGGACTTCTTTATAGGAAAATAACGGATATAAAAATGGATAACTTTATCTCAAATTCAAAATTTAAAGTTCTGTCTTTCAAATTGTATAAAAGCAAATTTGAAATAATCCTATCCAAAACAGTTCCTATTAGTTGGTCGACCATATAAGACGGGTTGGACTGTCCTACTAAACCATACTTTCAGTCCACCTGATCTCCATCCAATGGCCCATATTTCTTGCTTTCCTACCTCGATCATAGATTGTTCATGGATTGCTCATGTTGCAATAATTCCAAAATGTCGTGATGAAATTTAGCCCCAGAAAAAAAATGACAACAAAACTCAACCTTTTTAGGAAATATTCGTCTTCTTGAGAACAATTTAGTGTTGGGAAATGGTTCACAATTCATCACCTGTAGAAGTTGCAAAAGCTTCGCGAAGTTTTTATTTTTAGAAGCTCACCAAAGAATTGTGCTTGAACTAAGGAGCTTCGTTGAGATCCATGGGTGTAGCTTTTAATTTTATGCAACAAGAGGAGTCTAAAGGTGGCCTCTGTTTGTAGTAGTCAAGACATTGTTTCCCCTCTATGTGCATTTTTAGAATGCCCTAGTTCATAAGAAAGGTGGGTTTGATTTCCCCTTGTTTCAGTTTGGCCTGGTTGAGAGGTTGTTGTCTTTTCTATGAACTTTTCTGAAATTGAAGCCCAGAGGCTTATGAAATGTTTTTTTAGGTTTTAAAATTTTATATGGAATTTAGAATTAAATGAAAATATGACACTAAATAGGATGTAATGGAGAAAAAGGATTCACGTAGCCGACCGCACTTAATGTGATAAAGGTTTTGTTTTTGTTGTTGTTGTTGTTGTTGTAAAATTTTATATTGAATACAGTTTGGATTCAGAAAATTTTGCTAAAATTAATGTTCTTCAGATTAATTCTTTGCTAGCCATATCGAGGTCATTTAACAGTTTCCCAGCTAACCTTTGCAGGTGAAAACAAAACATAGCAATCTAATTACGAGTTTTGTGCATCATGTAAACATCGAACTTGAAAAAAATTATCAAGCATAGATTCAACCTTCAAAAGCTCTAAATTACTCTTCTACTTGTTTTCAAGCATTATTGTCATATTTGCTGACTACTTTTTTTACTTGTATTCTTTTTTTTTCCCAAAGTTTCATCCTACTCTTCCCTTCTTATGTTGGGTTTAACAACACAGGATTTCTCTGCCAGAGGTTGTTTGTGGCCCTCTTCTTTGGTTTTAGTTACTTGTATATGGATCCTGCTTCTTGATCAGTAAGTATTTAAGTCAAATTTAGTCCCACATTTCTGTAATAGTTCTCTCTTATACAGATGCAGCAAAAAATCACTAAGAGTAGGAATGGTTTTCTGTGCATCACGTGTTCTTGTGCAATTATTTATATTATTTGACTGTTGGAGTCTGTTTTTCCTTCCGTGTTTTCACATTCATTATCTTAAAATAGTGCCATCAAATAATGTTTAAATTCGATATTATGATTTTTTTTATTGCTTTATTAATATTATTTTTTGTTATAAAAATTCTACATTAGTGAAATAGCTGGAGCTTATACGACTGCATTTTCAACTATGGCATAACCATTGTTTCCGATTATGGTATGGCCAAATCATGTTGAAATTAGAAAAAAACTGCCTTTCTACATCCCGTCTGCCTTAAAACTTTATTATAACATCAATTTGATTTATGAAAAAGCACTAAAAGTCACACCCAAATGGGTTCTCAGCTTAGTGGTTCATATCTTCATTTTTATCATTGATGTCTTGCATTAGAGCCTTTTTTCTTAAAAAATTTATAGTATTTTAATCATCACTTCTACCCAGAAAAAAAAAAAAAAAAAAAAAAAAAAAGCCTAAAAATTCAAATTATTTCTAAATATTCCTTTTTGGATTTTATTAAACTTATATATTTATGACTAATATTTATTAATGAATTTAAATCTCGTTTTAAAATAATATATTATAATAAATAAATATTTTATTATTTGTATCACAAGTTATTAATATTTTTATGTTAAATTATAGATTGTTTATTATTAGGCATATTTTTTAATAAATCATTGTATATTGTCTGGAAAATAAATAAGACGATGTAATTGACGGTAATATGATTCTCATGCTGACATTTTTTTTAATAAAAAACTTAATATTAAGCAATAAACTATGTAGGTTTTTTAACTAAAGAAAATAAAAATGTTAAAGAGAAAAATGATTGTCTTATTTATTTAATTTTAATGGTCTAATCATAATCACCCAGCAAAAATACTTGAAGCACAAGTTTAGGAATCCCCCCTTCCAGATGATGCTAATAACTTGAAAATTTATAAAAATATCAAGTGTATTTGTTACTCGGTTTAGCCAGCTAACATCCAAAGGATTTAATCAGCAATACATGTTTCACATGCACAATCATCACTATATAAATTTTCTATTATAATGAAATTTGATTATCGGAATCCTTATAACGTTTTTAATTACATTTCAACATCAATCATAATTTATGAAGTAATACATATTTTTTCAACCATCAGAATAAAATATTGGTAAGGTTTCCAGAAGAACATGTAATAAGTAACATAGTAAAGCTAACCATCACACCATTTTTATTATCATCAAATAAAATCGTATAAATAAATAAGTGCAAGAAACATATCTATAAATATTTTTATTTCATAAAAAACATATCATATTATTTCATAAAAAAATATCATCAATTTAAATATACCAATAGTAGCAAGAAACATATCTATAATAAAGAATGATGTATTTATCTCTTATTAAAAAATCAATTAGTCTAATATTTAGATCATGATGTTGACCAAAATATGATGCTTTATACACCATAGATTTGAAAGAATAATAATCAATCATACATTCATGACATCGTACATTATGCATTAAATAGTCACAAAAATCCATTAAATACTTTGAAATTCATGATTCTTTGATTTATCCTAATTTATACTTTGTTTTAACCCAATATAATCACTAATTAATTAGTATATTTTCAAATGCTGCACTATGTTTGTAAACTACGAGTGATTCTCTAACATCAAACCAACAATTATTTAAAAATTATGCATTCAACATATAGGGCAACAAACATTAAACCATAAAAATAATCCAATTAAATATTTTCCTTAAATCAATGTTGTTAAGGCTTATGTAATTTCTTTTTCATGAATAACCACATATATTAACTAGTCAATCAATACTTTTCATCTCACCTAACATTGATTACGACTTTGTGAAAGTCTAATACCTTCTAAGATTTAATTATCATAGAATCCTAGCAGTAGTGTGTGTTTGGTTAACAGAGTTTATAAGATCTTTGGGGTCATGGGTTCGATCTCGCCTATTTGCAGGATGGAATTCCTAGGTATTTGAGCTTGGTCGGGAGACTGGTATAATAACCTCTGACCAATCTTTTTAATATAATATACGTATGTGTGTGTGTGTGTGTGTGTGTGTGTGTGTGTGTATCTATATATATATATATATTAAAAGAAAAGGGAAATATATTAGATAACTAAAGTGGTTACAACTTTAAGATAAGGAGCCTCAATCAAGTCTCCATGCAACAAAAATGAGGGGGGGGGGGGGGGGGGGGTGGGGGGGGGGAGGAGCACAACACCATCTGAATTTGAAGCCAATCTAGCAAGCCAATAGGTAGGTTTGTTAACTTCCTTGAAGATAAAAGCAAAAGAAAACTTGCATTAACCTTCAGAAGAATTGATAGCTTTCATCCATTGCAAGATATGCCAAAGGGGGGGAGATATAGAACCTCTGATCATTTGATTAAGCAATGAAGAATTTGTCTCCACAATAAGGAACTCCCACTTCATCCAATTAGCCACCTATATGGCCCAGAAAGTAGCAGCAAATTCAGTTTCTAGAGCATCCTGGGCAAGAATAAGACAGTAGAAGAATAATTTGCAGATTCCACTGGAATCTTTGAAGATACCACCAAACCTAACTGAAGAACTATTATAGCTGCCATCTGTGTTCTCTTTGATGTAAGGATGAGGAGGTTGAGTCCAGAAAACCTTAGTGATAGTAAAAGAAGAAGTGAAGGTATTGATTTGAGGCTGGGAATCACAGATATAAAAAACCTTTAAGCTTAGCCAACTTGTTTATGAAGGCCTTATGGCCTTATAGTTGACAACAATGTGAGCGACTGAGGGGAGAAGATCATCATGTTTAGCGTTGTTCCTAGCCATCCATATAAACCAACAGAGAAACCAAGCCATAATAAATGAGATAGACCCTAGTTTAAGTTTAAGCCAATCCCTCCATAAAGAATTAAGAGTAGACCATTCCAGAGAGAGTGAATTTATTTTCAATTTTTGTGTGAGCTCCTTCCAGACTTACTGAGCAAAGGTACATTTTAAGAAGATATGAGGAATAAATTCTACTTCATGATGACATAGGTGGCATCTAGAAGGTCCTCTTAGGCCCTTAAGTTTGAGAATATCATCCACAGGGAGCAATTTCTAAAAAAATCTCCAAATAAAAAAGGACATTGAACGGGTTAGAAATTTTTTCCAAATATTTTTCCCCCAAGGGACAACCTACCAATTGAAAATATTAGAAGAGATAGCTTTGGACATAGTTTGCAACCTGCTTGATTTCAACACCAACTTGTCATTACTATCTCAGTTAAACTAGATTTTAGAAATACATGCAACAGCGATAGGATTTAACATTGACTAGAGAGTTTCTAAGCACCAGGATTTGCCATTCCAGCAGTTAGAAACTAAGATGTTTGGATTGATATTAGTTGGTCTCGGCAATAGAAAGTCTTGGGGGCACACATTATCTAACAAAAAATAAATTTCACCATTACCGAGATCCCATAGAAACAACTCCTCAGTTTGTTGTCTAAATTTTAACATTTGTACCCAGGTTCTTGAGTCCCCCAATTTTTGACTAAGTAAGCTAGGGTGAGAGTGCTTGTGGTACTTACCTTTCATGTATATTGTCCAAACAGATTGTTGCTGCCTAAACTTTATCCAAAGTTTGCACATGTTCACTTGCTGGAGGTGCAACGGACCTTTGAAACCTAATCCCCCAGCCATGGCTGGCTTAGCAACCTTCTGCCAGCTAGCCCAGCAGAATTGTTTTCTTTGCCCAGACCATAAAAATTTGTTGAAATGTCTTTCCAAAAGTAGTTGTGTAGATTACTTCAAAGCAGTGACTTGTAGGAAGTAGGAAGGAAAAGATGTTAAAATGATTATAAGAAGAGTGATTCTTTCCCCATTGGATAGAAAGGAGTTAGTCCAACTATTGAGTTGATTGCCAATTTTAGAGAAGACATCATCAAACTGCACCATTTTGGCTCTACCTTAGACAATAGGCACCCCACAGGTATTTGGATGGACGAGAGGAGGTTGTAAATCCAGTAAATTGGGATATCCATTGTTTAACTGCAGGATTAGCTTTTTTACTATTAAAATAGGTGACATTTAGATGGGCTGAAGGAAAAACCAGATACCTTTTGGAAGTGTTGAAGGCATTCTTGAATAAGCTTAACAACATTCTTATTGGCTTTGGAGAATAAGATAATGTCATCTGCATAGATAAAGTGGGTGACTTCCACATCAAATTTGTGATGAAATATAGCCAAAGTTTTCTGCAGCATAGCCTTATCCATGATTCTAGAGTAGTCCATAGGTAGAATAAAAATTGAAGGATAGAGAGGGTCCCCCTGTTGGACACCACTAGATGCAGTAAAGAATCCAATTGACTAACCATCAGCAAAATAGAATGAGCATTTTGATGTACTAGAATGAATTGCCAATTGATGGTGTCATATGATATTTTTGGGTTCTGCTTGTAGATCATATTACCCCCTCTACATGGGTGATCAATGTCCAAATACAGTTCTTGTGCAAGTAATATGTTGTCAACAATTTACCTTCCCTTCACAAATGCTGTACGATTAGGTTTGAAAAGGTGGGGCAGATGGGGTTGAAGCTTGACAATAATGATCTTACTGATGATTTTACAAATAACATTAATGAGACTAATTGGCCTAAAATGGTCCCAGGTGCTGCATTCTGTAGTATTGGGAATAAGAAAATAAGAGGAAGAACAGAAACAGTTAGAGAGAGGGTTCTCTAGAAAGAAGCTTTAGATGACAGCAACCACATCTCCTTTAATTATAGGCCAAGATTTCTTGTAAAAGGCAGAAGTAAACCCATCAGGACCAACTACTCTAGAACTATCAATACCTTATATTGCTTCCTAGATTTAAGTTTTAGAGGGAGAGTGGGTGAGTTGGACATGCCTAATATAATTTTGATCCTCCTGGAATACCTACAGATCCAGTGTATCAGCACTGGGATAGGGACTATGAGGAGTTCCTTAAAATAATTAACAGCATTGCTAATAGCATTATTAACAATTCTCCCATAATCTTTGATCTAGTTACCACCCCCATATATAATT